ACACCTGCGGGTCGACGAGCGTGCCGTCCTCGTCGAGCCAGAAGACGGCGCCCTTGGCCCCAAAGGTTGAGAACGGGTGGTATGAGCCTGGGAGGGGAGGGGGGGGGGTGCAGGACCGACGCGTGAAGCACGGGCAGCGACGCGCCAGGGACCGGGCGGCACTGCGCGCCGGGCCGCCCGATCTCGCTCCAGTCACACTCAGTGGTGTGGACGCCGCCGAGCAAGGTCGGCGTGTCGATGGCAACCTTCTTGCCCGGCAAGGCCCTCATGCCGAGGACGTAGGTGCCGGACACCCACGCGAGCATCCCTGCACGTGCGTGCAGCGAGGAGGGGGGGGAGGGATCTAGCGAAGTCGAGGGGTCTAGCGCGAAGCGCGGCCACGCGCCTGTCGTCGACCCTCCGAACAGCACGAGCGTCGCGGACATCGCCACGCCCTTCGCGCCATTGCCGTCGGCCGAGGTGAGCACTTGCAGCACCGGCGCCGAGGCGAGGGCGAAGCCTACGGGGAGGGTTGGGCCTCGGTCGTGGGAGAGGCTCTCGGCATGGGCTGCAAGAGGCGGGGTGGGGGAGGAGAAGGCGGAGGGAGAAGAGAGGGGGGTCCGCGTTCCGCGCCGAGGTTGAGCACGCTCGCAAGCTTAAGGCGCCTACCGTGCCGCGAGACCGACGTGAGCAGGAGATCACCGCACGTGGGCAGCCGCTCGAAATGAGGAGCACTTGACCATCAAGTTCTTTCCTCCCTCAAAGAGGACACCCTCGTAGCTGTAGTCAAGCGCCTCCTCGGTCGCGGCCTCAGCCGCCGGCGCGGTAGCCTCCTGAAGCGTCCCGCGGTGGCCATGGTGAGAGGAGGCATGGGCCGCGAGCCGCGACAGTCGGTGGTCTTGCAGTGCTGCTATGCTGCCATCACTACAGGCCACGCTTGGCATCACCAACAAATGTCTGGAGTGAATTTATTACGTGTGTGCAAGCAGTCACGTGCAGAGAACAGCCAAGTGCACATGCAGTTTGTTGCGGGCGCCTCTTTAGCGCGCAGGCTGCTGTGGAGCTGGCGGCACGGAGCGACGGCGGCAGCGCGTGGGTGAATCGCGAGTGCACGCGGCGCCACGCGGCATGCCCGCGGCAGCAGCGCCAGCGCGGACGGCCTTCCGAGCGCGCAGAGTGGTCGGCGCAGCATCCTGGAGCGCCGAGTCGCGAGCAATCAAGGTCTGCCCCGGTCAAAAAAATAACCCGATGACACAGCTGCAAGATCCCGACTGTGGAGAGGTACGGCGCCTCAGTCAACGGTATGGCGGGTGGAGTGCTCTCTACTGCCGCGGCGCCCCTGTCGGTTCGGAGGCGCCCGGCGGCCGCGCGCTTGGTGCCGACGTCGACCGGCTGCTCTCGCGGCGCCGAGGCGTGCGGCTACGGTCACGTCACGCGCGCTGTGAGGTGTCTTTTGTCATGTGCGGGCTTGGCATAGACGCCAGGAAGCTCGCCTTGCTTGCCTGCGGCCGTGGGCGTGCGGGCGGGCACGCCAGGCTCGGCGACGCTCCGCGCGGGTCTTCGAGCTCGCGACCCGATGGCTCGTCGCTCGACGGTAAAGTGGGACATCCCACGAGCCGATAACA